GACAGGGAAGGAGGAGGAGGAGGTGGCGGCAGGTGTTTGTGACATAAGTAGACCAATGTTTTGTGGGTCCTCAGCAGTAACTTGACATACAAGACAGGAATCCTAGCACCAAGGCAAGTGTAGAGTTGTTAGTGACAGAGGGGGAAAAAAATTGACTACATCTTGTGTGAGACAAACTCAGACACTTGACAAGACAAGAGGAAGAGGGGGAGTAAAATAAGAAAAGTAGAGGTTGCCAATCTAAAGGGTAAAAGAGTGAAAACATTTCTGTATTCAAGCTGAGGGAAACATGAAGGAAAAGCAAGACATTTACAAGTTAGCAATGACAACAGCTTTGACACACCTGAGGTCAGATTTATGAGGAGTGCAGAAGTCATAAATATAGTCTGTGGGTCGCCTCCAATTTAGGGGGGGGGGGTTGGAATTTGAACCAACAGAAACTGGAGATTAAATGTGTTTGCTTCGGTCTGTCTGCATGCATCTGTATGAATATTGAGCAGCACTGAATAATATCATCTGCTCCAATGAGTTCCAGCTATTTTGTAAACAAGTAAAAGGTTATAATTATTCTACCATGTATATGAATTAAGTCCTCTTCAGATAAACATACATTTTCTTATATCTTGTCCTTGCACCAGTGGCACTGAGAATTCTTTTCAGTATCAATGCAAGCAGTGCATATTTAATTATCGTTCAACCAGAGCATGTGAGCGAAGCGCAAGTAAGTGGGTAGTAGAAGCAGACGGATTTGGGACAAAATGCAGTGCGGCTTTTTGAAAAGAGACGGAGCATCGGCCTATGTCCTGCTCCAAATTTGCTTGAGTACTGCTCGTACCATGAGCCTGAAGCATGCCCAAGCCCGACCCAGAATGCATCTGTGTGTTGCACAAGTCATCCATTCAGTCAAAAATTGGCCATTGCGAGCTCAACAATGGAATTCCTGAAGTACTTTAAAAAGGAAAATGAAAGGTCATTCAGGTGTACTGTATATTTTATTTAATTAGGTCCATTGATTTGTTGAATTTTACATATGACTTTTGTGTTATATACTGTAGGTCTAACTGTAATTTGAAATAAATCATTTCTATCTATCTAAAAGTAGGCGTTGCTTCTTAGTTTTTTGGGATGTAAGGCTACAGTTTAAGCTAAAAGTGAATTAAATGCTGATTATTTCTCCTGTTTTGGAGAAAGTGGGTGCAATCTGAGTGGAGCAGGATGCAATCCGAGTTGAGCGCTGAGCAATAATGAGCGGAGCACCCTGGTGAGGGTTTTGAGCGGGGGAGAGGATCGTGCGAATCCCAATGCAGTTCTGATGAAGGAACTTGAGGGTTTGAGTGTTAACATATGGATAAATATGGATTTAAAAAAAAAACGATTAGTCATGAAAATGTAATGTTATAAAAACTAACATTTAAATCCAATTTTTAAGGGCTTTAATTGAAAAAGAGCATGTAAGAAATAGATGTCAGAAAAAAACAAAAAAAAACTATTTAGAAAAAGCTAAAGTAGAAACTAGAGGTCATCAATGAAGAAAAAGGAGCAAAAGAAGCAGTTGAAATCTTGCAGAGAGATTATAAGAAACATGTTTTGGTCATGGGCCTTCATTGTGCACCAAATTCATAATATAAAACATTTAATAAGCCTCAAGTTGCAATAACCAAACAAAGGGAGACAAATGAACAACTGAATAATAACACAAATAACTGGAAAAAATCTTTAAAGTAGGATAAAAAAAAATCTAAAGTCAAAAACCATAGAATATACAAATAAAAAACCGAATTTGGAATAGATTATATAAGCAATGGAAATATCTTTACAAACTTAAAGGCCTGGTATGAAAACAAACAAACACAAACTTAGACTCTGGTTCATACATCTCTTGCGTTTCCAGCTGCAGCCATTAGCAAGGTAAAGACTGACCACAAGATTACTTGTATTATTCATTTGGTCCCATTCTGATTTGCTGGGGGTGAACATAAGTCCCCACCTCAAGCCAACCAGAGTAGGTGATCATGAATAATGAAAATTTTATGTTAATTTCCAGAACAGCCCGCTAGAGGAGAGAGGGGAACCTGGGCTGTTTGGAAAGATGGACTGAGAAATCTGAACAACTTTGGGTGAATAAAATGTCTCAGATATATTTAAAATACACTCAAGATGTATAAGAATAGGTCATAATAGCAGCTCTTTAAACTTTAAAACTTTATGTGATGAAAGTATTTTTATTTTGGGTATCAGATGTGAGTGGATCATGCTCCCCTTATTTGGCCATACTAGAATGCTGCATCCTGTTCATGCTACAACTGAAATGGCAGTGTGCATTAAGATTCATTAATACTACGATGAACAGTATGTGAAGATGAGATTATGTAAAAGCAAGTTCAGCACTATCCGTTCAATTTGATGATGGGCCACTTGTTAGTAAGAACCTTACTACTGCCTACTGCCAGCAGACGTTTTACTGAAAACTCCTCAAAATGTAACACACATCTTACAACTCTAAACACACATTTGTTGATGTATAAATTTACAGTTGACATAATGTCAAGACATATGATTTTAGCCTAAATGTATCCACTGTTGTTGTATGTACAATCCATGAATCTCTAATTAAAAATGATATGTATCCAGTATTGCAGATACAATGGCTTCAGAAGGTACAGTACTCAGAACCCTTCTGTTTTTGTACTTTATTATGCTGTATGTTAATATTCAATTACTACAATTGCCATTTTCACCCACCAGTAATCAATAATAAATCAAACTCATGATTTTTAGAATTTTTTGGAAATTTACTAAAAATCAAAAACAGAAATCTCTTGTTTACAAAATTATTCAGACTTTTACTTCAGCTCTGTTTAGAGGCTTATTTGGCCTTTGCAGAGTAACTACTGCTTCCAGTCTTCCTGAGTAAGACTCTACAAGCTTTGCCCACCTGGATTTTGGCAGTTTATCCCAATCTTTCTGGTAGATTATATCAAGCTTCGTCAGAGACCTTTTAGCAGTTTAAGTCAGGGACAGTCAGAGGATACATCTCAAGTCTCTTATAAGATTGTTCCTACTTATTTGGTCCTTGATCGACTTGGAAGTTGTTCCGACCAACCGAGAACATGCCAAGTGTCTTGTATCAGCTTTGAGTGCCAAGGAGTGAGGAGGCTGCTAAAGGAGTTGTGAGCGAGGATATACAAGACCATCCTTTGCAGTTTTTTTTGTGAACTGACAGACCCCTTTATCAGAAATCAGTTGGTAATTGGAAGCTTCAGATGAAGGGTCTGAGGAAAGGATGTCTCATGTCATTAATAACGCGATTCCTTGAGTCCTCATTCCTCATATATTTTCCTTGCGCGTTTCCACACATTTCACGTAGGAGGGACGAAGACAGGTGGAAGAGACACAAATTTTCTATAAGGACCTCTATGTAAAGGCTAAATTATCTAGTCGATGAGCAGTGCCTGGTGTTCAACAAACATAGTTCTTGGAGTTCTACCCAAAGGGTTTACTTTCTGTCTAATCAGACCAGAGAATCTTTGTCCTCATGCTCTCAGAGTCCTTTAAATGCCATCTGGCAAACTCCAAGTGGGCTGTCACATGCCTTTTACTACAAATGACTTCCACCTAGCCACTCTACCATAAAGGCTGATTAATGGAGTGCTGATGAGATGATCATCTTTCTGGCAAGTTTTCCCATCTCTGCAGAGGACTGACGCTCTATCAGAGTGGCTGTTGGGTTTTTGGCCATCTCCATCACCAAGGTGTTTCTTGCCCGGTTACTCAGTTTAAATGGATGGCCAACTCTAGGGACAGTGCTAATGGTTCCAGTTCAAATCAATTCAGTTTATGCCAATCGAGTTTGAAACACATCTCAGAAATAATTTAAGCAAACAGGATGTACCTGACTGCAATTGTGCCACAGCAAAAATTCTGAATACTTTCATAAATGAGAGATTTCAGTTTGTGTTTTTTTAAATACATTGCATAAATTCATAGAAACATGTTTCCACTTTGCCATTATGGGAAACTGAGTGTAGAGTGGTACAAATAGCAAATGTATCAATTTCAAGTAAGATCTAAAACACAAAGTGTGCAAAAAGTGAAGGGGTTTGAATACTCTGAAGTAACTACATGTTTTCACCACTCATGTCATGGCTGATGCAGATTAATGGCAGCAGAAATGTGCTCCACCACCTGAACAGCTGCAACTGGGGTCATCACTGTTTCCCACACCCAAACCCTAATGTCTACTTACTTCACTTACACATTATTACTTTGATTACAGTGGTCAATGAGATTAACAGAGATGAATGAGCACAATGTGCTGCAAAATGAACAGCCCCATAGCACGTTTTTCATCATTACACACTATGATTATGAATTAAACTTTGGTTTAAAAAACAACGCATGTAAATCTATAGCTGTATGCAACAGTGCCAGCAGTGTTAATTAAAGTATAAGATGAAGAATGGATGCAATACATGCTTTCACTTTTTATACATCTTGTTAACAGCGCCTCCCTAGATATAAATTGAAATAAAGAGGCAGTGGTGCCAACTCGGCTGCTGTCAACATGCATTCATTAATTAATAAAAAAATGTTTTTATAGCATATTAAAACTCAATGTCAACATTGCTATTCCTATTTTTTTTAATTGCTTCTTATTCCTAGTGAACCTTCTCACATTTTTAACTGTTCAGTGTTGAAAGATGGCGCTGAGTGACCATCACAAGATGTTTTGGTCTAGAGCTGAAAGACAAATTTTAAAGCACTATTACAATGTGATAACCACCTCAATAGTTGTGTTACACTATGATGGTAACACTTTATTTTAATGATCTGTTATTACCTGTTAATCTCCCAGGAATATGTCTGGAAAGAATAACACTGGTGTACACTTTTAAAAATTATATGGAAATATGCTAATGTTTATGAACTTTGAGGTGCTGAATTTAAATGTGGCCTTTAAAAGTGGAGATAGCTATAGATTTTAGGATATTTAGCTATTTATGTTTTATGCCGACATGCAAAAATCTGACTCACAACTATATTATACTTAAAACCTGACTGTGTGGTATAGTCCTTTTACATGTCATCAAGCCAGTACAATTATCACATTGTCATAATTACTTTATATAACATCTGGTTTAGATAAAGACTCACCTTGAACATAGTGCTACCCAGCTGGGCAGGGGACATGCTGATGATAACTCCAGCTGACTGCAGAGCTGCAATCTTCTCTTTGGCTCCACCCTTTCCCCCAGCAATGATGGCACCTGCGTGGCCCATCCTACGGCCGGGAGGAGCAGTTAGCCCCGCGATGAAGGACACTACGGGCTTTGAATTAGCACCCTAGACATAAAAAAAGAAGAAGAAAAAAAAAAGGCATGTGTAAAATAAGGTGTAAATGGGTAGAAAAGGAAAATAAGCTCAAACCCAGCAATGAAGGACGCCATGGGCTTTGAATTAGCACCTTAGATATACAAGATGGAAAGAAAGAAAAACAGGAGGGTAAAGTGAGGTGAAAATGGACAGAATAGGTTCAAGGCAACATGCAAGGATGTGAGCACAGCTAGTAAAGCAACAAACTAGATGAGGAAGAGAAAGGAAAGAAGCAAAACATGAGGTGTATAAAAAGAGTAAATGAGTTTTCTGCATCTGCATTTTATTCACTCATTAGAAATTAAACACCCCATGTCCTCACAGTACAGAGTCTTCATGATAACAGGTTTGTCTCATCAGCCATCTCTGTCTCTGCCTGCATTATTAAAACAAAGGGTCAATCAAGCCATTTAATTGCATGGGTTGGTGTATGACCAAATAGAGGCTCAGGCTCCTGCCATTTCATATCATCTTGTTTCTGAGATGGTAATTAGTCATGGAGGCACTGATTAGCTCAGCGCCTGTCTGTGCTGCGTGCTCACTGATCGATGTTACGTTCAACAGTTAAGATCATTTCCAACATGAAGAGAGCTAATATTTCATCTTCAGCAATGACATCATAACCAGTAAGATGGACGGCAAGTGTGTGTATGTGTGCACATGCAGTACTGTGGACAGCAACTAATATTTCATGCTTTGAAATAACAACCTAATTGAGGAAGATGGCTTTATGTGCGTGCACACACACACACACACACACAGTCCTGGGTTTTCAACAGAAGCTGTGGCTCATCTGGCAGACTGCTTTCAGACAGTGAATGTGGCATGATCAACAACCAAAACAATACAGCAAGGTCCTTCAAAGACACCCACTTGTGCTGCCATTTCAGCTCCAATATTCAAAGCTGACACTGGCAGAAACAAGATGGCAGCCACTAATAAAAAACAGAGACGCCTTTTCATAATTAAGAATAGTGGGGCGTAAATCAGCCAGGGAAATGTCGAGGGCCTGGGTAGAAATGCACAGCTAATGAGACATTAACACTTGCACAGTCAGTGAGAGGAAATACCACTTTAAAGTGCTCTAAATAAGTTACAAGCATCTGTTCTATGCACTGAAAAATGTAAGCACAAAACAAATTAGCACCAAACTCCATTTATTATTCATAAGTCAAATCACGTTCTGAATAAACAAACCACCCTCATGTGAATCAAGTCGTAAATCTACCTCAAACGAAAGGGGTTTAATTACTCCATTAATCCCTGCCTCCCTCGATAATATGTGCAAACAATACATACAGAGAGGACAGTCATACTTCCATTCACTTTTCCTGTCTTTTGTCTTCCACTTTTTAGCATTTCAGATATATTACCATTAATTATGAAACCAATAGGGTAGTTCCTCCACCTCTGTATACCAACATGAGGGAGGAGGGCTTTGTTGTATAAATACAAAACAGCCTCCTCCATGATGAGGAATTGTATTCACTTATAAAGTCTAAGAAAGACAATTATATTCCCTTATAAATATGTACCTTAGGCATGAATAAAATTGGCAAATAGAAGAGAAAAGAGGAAAAAAAAACAAAAAAAAACTCAGTAACCAGTAGCTTAGGCTCCAAATACTTCAACCTCCTTGATAAGCATGAAGCAAATTGTACTACAGTATGGTTATTCTGTGTAAAACCTATTTCTGGCTTCAGAAAGCCTGTGAAACTCTGGAAATGATGGGCAGACCTTTAATATGAGTGATTTTTTTTTAAAGACCATATTATTTTGGCAAGCGTTGCAGACGCTGATGAAGACTGAACCCTGAAATATGCTCTGCATCATAAAATCTGACAGGAGAACCTAGTGGGAAGTATAAGCTTGTTTTCTTGAATTTTACTTTATTAAGGTGTCGGCAGTTAAACAGTCAGCAGTAACTCAACTGTAACACTGATGGATACCGAAATCAATACTTCTGCACCTTTCTGGTATAATTTGTCTAATGTGCCAAGTAGAAGTTCAATATATTTAATGTTGCATGACACAAATCAATCATAACACTGGACTTTTAGTTTCACTAAGAATTCTATACATGTGTCCAGTGCGGCAAAATTTTTCAAGTAAATGTGAAATGCAGCAGCTTTAAAAAAAAAATTTTTTTTCAATTAACTTCTGACTGAGTGATGTGGTTCAACGTCAACAATTTTCTGGCCAAGCTGGACAGCTTTTGATTAGTTTACAAAAGGGTTTCAGTCTTTGCTGTAGTGTCTCCTCTTGATGTCACATACACTCGGTTTATTAGGTACACCAAGCTAAAGCTAATGCAGTCTAATACAACAGTCCTGCAAAAAAATCCTCCTTTCATGAAAGTGAAAATGTTCAGTTTTGCTGAAACTGCTTTACAGAGGTGATAATTTGCTTATTTGCCAAAACAAAAGAAATTTGTTAATTTTTTTTTCTATAAGTTGACTTGAAACAACGTGTACAGCTGAAGCAATGTCATTTTGTAGATGTGTCTACCACTATTCTTCATTGATGTGCCTAAATAGGAGTCATCTATGAAGGAAGATAATGTCACAGTTTTTTGACCCAATCCCACAAAGCTCTGATGAGTTGGTTGTCCCTTTTAAAACTGCTGAAGAAATATGACATTCAGAGGTGTGGATCCAATGAGCTGGTGTACTGTTAATCTAATCAAACCACACCTTCACAGTGACCTGAAAAAGTGGATTAGTTCTCATATGAGCATTAAGCCCTTAATAAACAGAGTACCATAGTAGGGAGTTAGGATTGTTGCACTACCGGTTACCTCGCCCCAAAGTCAATGGGTTTTTGATTACACACTTGAAATAAGGTCTGTAGTTAACACAAGGCCAATACATTTTCACAGTTTATTATATGATATAAAATATATCAGTAAATACCACAATGGTGATTTTTTTAATGCTTTAAAGTGTCTTAAAAAAGCGGTTGCAAACAAGTGGCTAAATGAGACTACAGAGGCTGTCTGAGATATTAAACGTCATTATTTTTTACAGCATTCCAAAAGCCTACGGAAAAATCCCACTGGCTTTTGTTGAGTGAACTAGGCTGATGCTAACTTCTGGGCTGGCCTATAAAACATGTCATCCCTATGGTACTCTATAGTCCCCAAGAAATTGTTTTTTTCCACTTTGTTATATATTCAGTCATAAATACCTCAAAAAGAAAAAGTAAAATAAAGATCATGAATTGGCTAAATCTGTTAGACTGCAGAAAGAATCCATCATCAAGTTTAGTCCTTCACTATTTTGTAATATTTATTTATTTTGGAAGTTTGGCTGAGTTCACCTGCTGCTTCTTTCCAGCATCATTGTGCATCACATTTATACAATATTCACACATGGGAGCTGCTCTAGGTTACTGTGTTGGTGATTTGAATTCAAATATATTTAAATTAAGAAAGCTAAGCCTTCTCCAAAGTAAAAACAATGAGTCCAGACTCCCTGGTACTCTCCTCGACTATTAAAAATAAAGTCCAGGTACACCATTTTATGTACAGTGTTCTACACAGCTGACTCTCAACAGAAGATCTGCAGCTCACTGCCATGCTCTGCTGGGCTTTTCATGCATGTGTTTCATTTGAACTGTCCCCGCTGTCAACACTCTGAAGGACTGGGTAGAAAGGGAGGGGTGTTTGTACTTTATTTGTTGAGTGGGAGAAGTTATTCTCCTGAGACGCCAGCGGGAGATTTGCATACATTAAAGCAGCCTAGAGCAAATCAAATCCATTTCTCAGCTCAAGAACACCACACATACACACACACACACACACACACACACACACAGAGACAGAGACAAACACACACTGAAAAAATTAACAGATTAAAAATCATCTGCAAGGAATAAAATGCCAAATACAAGGCTGGAAAAGTTAAAAATGTATATTACAACTTGGCCACCTAGCTCCACAAGGCAGTCATCACCCTATTGCTCTTTATCACATGTGCTGCAAATTTCTGGAACATACCCTGTGAATCGTACCTTCAACCCATCTGTCACTCTTAATTTTTAATCACACATGTCACACAGACAAAAGTGAGAAAAATCCTGAGGCTATGATCAAAAAGAAAAGACACTTCCATAGTTCCTCCTTGTTTGATAGAGATGGGAGGACGTGATATATATGTTCTGTTAGGCTGTCTTATTTACAAAAAATATTAAGTTGCTGGCGTATGGAGACTACATGATGTATAACAATACATACTGTGATGTTTTGGCACAACGATATATTGAATTTGACAGTGTCCCATCCCTGTTGTACAATAGTGTCCCGTGTTCACTACAGCTGATAGATGTGACAGGTCACGACTAAGAGCTAATTCAGAAAAGAGTAAATTTTTATACAAACAGATTTACCTGCTGAGCTAAAGTGTTGTAGTAGAGGATATTACAAGCACAGTGAAGTGAAATCATGGGTGTCCAGTATGTTAGTTCCTTACAGAGTTGTGCTGTTTTAGGTACTCTGCAGCATTCTCCTCTGCACTGCCTCCGATTTCTCCAATAAGGATGATGCCCTCTGTCTTGGGATCCTGCAGGAACACCTCCAGACAGTCTATGAAGTTTGTACCATTGAATGGATCCCCGCCAATACCTTGCAGGAGACAAAGCAAACACTTGTTTTATACTCAAGACTCAAATAATAACTCCTGTAAATATTTAGAAGATAGAGAGAAAAACTCAGTAGACCTCCACAGCAGCTTGGGTGCTAAACACTTCAACCTACTTGATAAGCATAAAGCAAGGATCACATGGATATTGATCCTTGGAGCGGAATGAGAAGCAGTTTTATGTCGAAATGGTCTGATAACCAGCACTGAGATTGCTCACTGAGGTTGCCTGAACATGATTTTTTTTTTTTTTCCATGAGTACATGAAATCTTTCTATACTGATTTAGTTTCACCATGATTTTACTGTATTCGCTTTATCAACTGTTTTAAGCCTGCAATAACTGATTTCTTGGCCACTTACGGTGAACTTCTTAGCAAACAGTTACCTATTTACACATCCAGCAGAAACAGAGCAGCATTATTTCTGAAGTCATATTTCAGGTGCCCTGGAAAAACTATGTCCAATATTTACTCTCTTTTTACCTCTGTTTTGGTCTTTATCACCACCTGAGGGAAATATTTGGTTGTTTACCTGCTATAGCTCTGCTATATTCACCAGCTAGTGACCCACTTCGTTTGCAGTCTGGTGCTGAGCAGGTAGCATACAGATTTTTTGCTGTTTAGCAGCTGCATCTGCTAACAACTCAGTGAGGGTGGTGAGAGTGAATCACAACTAAAGTAACAGGCAGTATAACCAAAACAATTAGCAAAAAGATGATGTAAAGCTCCACAGAAATGATGGGAACTACAGTATTGTGTCAGGGCATACTTCTCTGTGGGTTTGTGATCTATTCTCATAAAAATATATGCTTTAAATTAAATATCTAACACAATAAAACACATAAAGAAGAAATTTAATACTTTCCCTAAGCAACTGTAGATGAGCAACACTTAAAAATAAGGCTAAACTGGGCTGAGGTTAAACACTTGAATATTTTATGTCATGGTATACTTGTCCAAAACCACCTTTATCTCTGCACCATAAATTAACAATTCCTTTCCTTTCATTTACAAGGAGCATAAATTGTGAGGAATTTCCAAATCACAAGTGTCCAATAATATCTTTTAAAAATAACACACACCCAAAGAAAATAAAGCCAGGATATATAAAAACTCAGGTACAGACTAAATGTCATTTCAATGTCACCTAAATTTATATTCATACCATTAAAAAAACGTACATGGATAATAATCAAAAAGAAACACATTACCAACAACGATGACAGTGATAATAAATAGTGTATTAACTGTAATCTGCTGTAGCCCCTAGGTCACACTCAAACTAAAGATGTAGCTAGCAGACGCAGTAATAAACCTTACTTAATACTACTGTTGCACCGGCTTTACATAGTCTGTGTAGAGCACAGCCCATAATTAAAATGTCTGAAGAACAACATGGCCATTTTGTTTTTCAGTTAATCTGGTTGTCCAACAAGCCCTTTAAAACAGATTTTCTGGTGGCAACCAAGGGGCCACAAGAATTAGCTTCTGTAAAATACAAAGTCTTATATTTACAGTGCTGCTAAGAAGTAACACAGCTGGGCATAATGGTATCATAGCAGTACGTCTGGATGTTCTAATGAAATGACCTGTTTATATGTAGTTGCATTCGTGAACTTTGTGGGAGGGAGCTCCCATCAGATGAGAATGACATTAAGGAGCAACAAAAGAATGATGAAAGACCAAGAGAAGTTAGTGAAATTCCTTTTTGAAGAGAAAACCATTGTAACCATTGCAAGAACCATTGTTCCATATTATGTCTCAGCTTCAGGTCGGGCTATAAAGCTGCATGTGTTGCAAATCCACAGGAGAAACTATAGTAAATTATAGACAAGACTGTGAGAAACTGTGCAGACAGAAAGCAAGGTTATACTATATAAGAGGGTGGCCAGTAATGAGACATTCTCCATCTGTACTTGAGAATTGCTGACACTACTGTATTACTTGTAATTCATACAGTAAAACCTGCAACATATGCAACATATTAAAAGAGCTGTGTTTCAGTACACTGTCCATTTTATGTCTTGAAACTCAGGTCCTGGGTCTTGCCAACAATCACAATGAGGCTCCAATTGACTGTCTGGTATCAAGTGACCATCCTGTCTTCAAGGCACATGCAGCACATATTTTAATACAATATCCTATATTATTCAAAAATGTCCTCAGAATCTTCTCCCAGCAATTAATAAAGCCATATGTTGTTTTGTGATAAAGTTGTTCTTTTATTCCATGCTAATTGATTATTTTAATAATGCCTGTATATAAAACTAAGAGCTGTGTTAATGTGTGCTAAATTTAAATTCATGATGCCAGCAGGTCATTGCAAGCTTACCAACACAGACTGACTGGCCCAGGCCGACTTGTGTAGTTTGGTGTACAGCTTCATATGTCAGGGTCCCCGATCTAGACACAATGCCTGAAAAATAGTATAAAAACATTTTTTTTAACATTTATTTAAAAGAAATTGGGGTGGCACTATTTAAACAATGCTCTGATCAAGAGTGATAAATGAAATAAAATCCAACTGTCATATTCTGCCCAACTTTTATTGAATTGTTGTCAATATGACAGCAAAAACAAAAGGGATCAGCATCATAACAGAGCTGTGTAACAGCTGTTCTGCCTGTGCTTTGGGAATGATGCCAGTCGATTTACTATAAAACAGACTTCCTGTAAAGGTTCACTGGCCATCAGTAGCACAAACTGCTTATCGAGCTGTCAACAGCTAAAGCTCAATCTAAGACTGAAGGACAGTACTGGGAAAAAAGGTATTAGTATGACTTTAGTAATTTAAAGATTGTTGTTGAACGATCTTCAGTCAGCAGCTGAATTTGTTTACAAATGTAATGTGACATTTAGCAAATATTCTTAAATAAATAAGAACCTAAAGTGTGTGTTTTTGTGAATTCCTAAACCAGATTAGTAAATCTCACCAATTCTTCCTTTCTTGTGAATATGGCCTGGCATGATTCCAATTTTGCATTCTCCAGGCTGAAGATGGAAAACATATACACATTTTAATTAAAGAATATTTACCATGATATACATACCTATATACATACGTTTTTAAAACTTCGCTACTTCTTCTGGATATCACTGGAAATGTTCTGTCACTAGATCCCCCCCCCCTTTAAACTGAGTCAAACTTTTCCTCTTTACTGACAAAACCATTTGTTTGTAAAAAATTAATTTATTATTCAGCATTTTCCTACAGCATAAGCTTGTGTCATATAAACAAAAACAAATTCAAAGACTCTCCACAAATTCCCAGGATAAAGCATAACTTATTAAACTTTTCTGTGTCCAAATGCTAATTTTGTTATACCCTAAAATCCAGAAAACATGAGTTTTTCAATCCAGACAGGTGATATTATTAATCACTACCACAAACACACAAGCAAAAAAAATGTAACTGTATTAAAAAACATGCCACTTTAAGGTTTAAACTTGACTATGCAGAAAAATAATGCATTAGATCTTAATTACCACCGCACCCTTGAGAGGGAGATTGCACTTCCAGGCCTCTTTGTCACAATCAAAAAACAGAAACCATGTTCAGTGTGAGATAGAGGGAGTGTGAGCTTACATTGATGACTCCTGGGCAGTTGGGGCCTATGAGGCGAGTGGTGCTTTGGCGCAGGAGCTTATGTTTTACTCTCACCATGTCCTGCTGGGGGATGCCCTCAGTGATGCACACCACCAGGGGCATCTCTGCATCAATGGCTTCGATGATGGCTGCTGCCGCGAACGGAGGGGGTACATAAATAACGGAGGCAGCTGCCCCTGTTACCTCCTTTGCCTGAGGCAAAGAATAAATGTATTGGTGGTGTATTAAAAATGGAAATTCTAAGGTTATGAAATAGTGCCATCTAATGTTTCTTCTAAATTTATCTGTAAAACTCCACAGTCCTTCACAGGATATTAGCTGCAAATCTGTCAGCTCCATACCACATATTTCAACTTTTGTTTAGAATATTATCCATCTTTTTTAAGGGCCAGCCAAAGATGGATGAGGAGTCACACGTACCTCCTTGACTGAGTTGAAGACTGGCAGCCCGAGGTGCGTCTTACCGCCCTTGCCAGGGGAGACGCCTCCAACTAACTGGGAGCCGTAGTCAAGAGACTGTTGACTGTGAAACGTTCCCTATGAGGAAAGAAGGAAAGAGGAGTCAGTGTGTGCATCAGTGTGTAATGAAGTGGGGTACCGCCGCTTCTGTAGCATCAACCTTGAGATATCATTACAGACATGGAGGAAGGAAGAAATATGCTGCCATCCAGGATTAATCACTTGTGCTGCTGAGTAAAGGGATGGATGCAGCGGTGAGGCTGGATTCTTCTAGGGAATGTAACTAAGGGGAAATATATTCAATGAGAAGAAATCGAAATGTTCTAGACAGATAAATAATGATGTAAGCTTAGTGTAATGTCCCCGCAGAACATTTGAAAAACAAATCAAAACAGGCTTTATATACTCTTCGACAAGAAAGATAGTGTACAAAAATATTTCACATTCTGTCACTCCCATGCAGGTTACTGTGAAGGCAAGTGTGACTGCTGGGGCATCTTTTTCCTGACATTCAGGAAGGCAGTTCATTTGCTTCAACCCAAACAAACTTCCAGAAATTAAATAAAATAAATAAGCACTTACATAATTTTGGGTTTGCTATCACTGGAAATCTCTGACAAGCTATTGCAGAATATATATACACACTACAAATATATGATGTAAATATAATCAGAGTAAATGGAAAGAAGTGCCTATTACCACGGTTTTAAAGCAGTTAGTATGAGTAAAGAGTGAATGCTGGTGTTTGTATTCGCAGTAAAGGGAGCCGAATGAATTCCGGTAGGTAAAATCATGTGAGGGAAGCTCAGTTCTCCTTTTTCAGAAAATGAGTGCATGATGGAGCTGTGCAGTGATTTAGTTGAATAAACCTTATCAATCTGTAGTCAGTTAAATATTACTGAGATGCTGAAACAATATACTGTAGATAAAGTAGCAAAGAGTTATAACTACAAGTGCAAATAAATGATCTTAATGTAAAAATTCTAACTAGGCTATTAAGACGAATTAGAAGCTATGAATCAGCATTTTCCACCACTGTAATATACGCCTTCACCCTGCTAACTCTGCCAGCCGTTATCACGAATGTTGGGACAATAAATTTGAGAAATGGTTTGCTTATCAAGGCAGAAAGACACGACAATGTGCACTCAATAGTACTTACTTCGTTTGTCATCCTTCTCTAATTACCTAGAGTGTTCACTGGAGCTATATTTAACAACCTTTCATTATGTTGAGGAGAAAATGGAAAATGAAAAATGAAACATGCATAGAGACAGAAGGGGAGTATGACTCTATAAAGTCCACGTTTCAGGCTAGATGAACACACTGGAGAAGATTTTTATTCTCCTTGACTGGATATAGTTTCAAGTGAAACACTTGAGCTTCTTCATGCTCCTGAGAAATATCTGGAAGGATCAGGATCTGCCACACAAAGTTCTTTTTAATGACTAAAACTATCACTAAGGGTAGGCAGATTTTCTAACTTCACAAAAGTTCAAGTTAAGGTAAAACATTAAAGCTGCTTTTTCTTTCCCCAAAACATGCTGAAACAAGAACAAACCTGACATACAGACTTCTGATGCAAAGACACAACTCTCACAACAATGACAGAATAACAAGAGTGCATTGCAACTATATCTTTTGATCCAAAGACAAGTTTGCAGCATTGATTCAGATCATAAATATCATTATGAATAAGACTTAAAAACAAAAGAAAGATGAAAAAGAAACCTAAGTCTTCTATTGGATCAAGTCTCACCTTTATTCCAAATGTTTGTCCCTTTGCCTGAAATTCTTTAAATTATAAGTTTATTTAATTCTTAAAATCTTTAAGTTACAGTAATACTGCAAATCTGTTTGTCTCTATAGCACCAATGCTCTGTCTACTCTGTTCTTTGCACACCCATTACCTGACTGTCTGCTCTGAGAATAGGGGTAAAGTCATTATCTCGAACTTTAGTTGCTCTTCCTGAGCCAATAGAGGAGATTTTCTTTATCTAAACCGAGAAGGAAAGCTGCTACATATTGTACAGATTTCTAAGTGTTCTTTCTGAAACAAACTATTTGGTTAAATTAACAAAAACTGACTTGAACCAAATGTGAAGATATTAAGAAATGTTGGAAATAATTAACTCAAAAGCTCTCCTCTCAAGGGATCTTGGGAAATGAAGAAAGACTGGACACACAACAAAGAATAAAGAATTGTGTGTCTCAGTGAGTGTTTGTGTAAGAAGGAAAAACTGAGATTTCACAAGATTATAGTAACTTAAACCGATGTGAAGCAATAATAAAGACAACATAACAGTAAGAAGCCATCAGTACAAACCTGCTTCCCTGTGAAACCCTGGCAGATGACCTTCGTGTTCTTGTTGATGTAGATGTTCTTTCTTGTTCCTGTATAGCAGTGCCTGACTCCACCCTGCTGCACTAAAAAGAGAAAGGATGTCAATAGATGTCAATATATAGATGAATATTAAACATAAAAACTTCAAGGAATCATATCGTCTAAACCAAATATTCACAAAAAGGAAGGTGATAACTCTACAGTAGTATATAAAACATTTTTCACGAATTAAGCTGTTCAAATAGACACAAAGATAAGCTGTCATTTAAAAATGGTTTGGGGGGGATGAAAAACAACATAGTATTTATTCGTATTTTTCAGTGATATAAAGCCTCTTCAGTTAAGAGCAGTCACATTTCCTCCAAGACATTATCCTTTGGACTTTAGACTACAGTGCTTTGGCAATGTGACAGTCAGGAACAAACTTAAAAAAAGAGAATTATTAACCAGCTCTGATGTTTTTTAGATTATTTTAGACCAATGTCTTGTTTTTGCAGCCCATAAATTTGTTATATGGTTCAGATCAATATCACAACTCATATCAAATCTAGTTACAGCCGTTTACAAATACCAGCTTTATACACGGTGAGGAGGCTCTGTCACATTCTATGTTTGCTGTGAGACAATTCTTTAAACAAAAACTAGAGGTATTATGCAATAACCCTCTTGACAGATAAAACAAACAACATGCTAGGGGTGCTACAGACATAGCAAGAAGGTTAAATGTGCTTTCATAGGTCCTAAACCAAAGCTGTCTCCTTGCAATATTTTTTTAAAATGTGTACACATACCTAACACCACAAACTAACCAATGTATTTATTTTGTAACTTAAGCTAGCACACAGTTCAATGTAAATGTGTAGTATAAAGCTTTATCATATACTGTAAAAAGCTGCATTCACCATCTTAAGGACTTGAACTGAAAATGAATATTCAGTGTTGAAAGATTAGTAGTGATCATTTTTTAATGTCACATAAAAATTGCAGACCAATTAAACATTTGCTGCTTCCAGTTTTTAAAACGTCTTCTTGTTGTCTACTCTCTAACACTCTGCAAACTACTTTATTAACCAGTAACTGAAAAAAAACAAATCATTAGCTACAGTGATGGAACAAATTCATTAAGCTGTAGCTCCCAAAACAGATGATATGACACTGTTCCCTTCATAAACATAATTATACATATGTTAGATCTCAAACGATTGCCACTCTGCAGTGCACTAGTCTGACGCACAGATGTTCTGAGACCTTAAGCTAATTAATGTTATTTATGCAAATTTGTTTTCCCTCTATTAAATGTGAGCAGCGCAAGCCTGCAGGAAAAAATATCCAAAAAGTTGCCTATTAGTAACAACGTAAAAGATACAATAAGAGAAAAAAGAAGCAGAAAATGTCTGGTGGCTACCCACGAAACTTTGTGTTGCCTTGAAGCTAAATAAGTTGTTTCAGGAGAGTGGACTTCATTCAGAGTTTTGACAAACGCTGTGTTTGTATATGTGTAACCTACACGTACACCAGCAGCAAACGCAGTATCAGCAGTACTCAGCTGAACTTTGAACTGTTTTCAGCCAGAGAATGTATCAGTGACTACTGAAAAAGGTTCAGTGGTCCTCTAAACTTGAATGTCTTAACAAAATAACACTGAGACTAACGTTGCTTCTTGATATTAAAAGACCCCATCTGTATTCTTGTCAAAAGCATTCCCTTGCAAACTTAACGTTAGTTGTTAACAGATGCAAACATATGGACTTGAACAGCTAATGTAGCTGCTTCCAGTCACTGCTGGATCAAAACTAAAAGTAGGCTAATTGGCTGATGCTAACTCTGAAAAAACATTTTGGAGTGAATGGACACACTGCCTTAAGTCAAGAAGACAGGCAAGGTCAGACACCAGGAACAGGTTAGCAGTTAAAGTAAAATTTCAACTGGACATTAGCAAACAGCTAGCCAGTTAGCTTTCTGGCTATCAGTGAGTTATAACAACATATACGAATTGGCAGGCTAACTAGCCTATAAGGTAACTGACAGCTAAGCCAGATGAGCTTTGCCAGCTAAGTGCAAAACTGTGCAAAGCTCAGGTAGTGTAAACCACTGAGCCAGTCACTATGCTTATGATACAGAAACTAAACTCCCAAACATTTCAAGTATAATTTGTTAAATTACTTACAAAGCAGCCTGACAAACAACCTGCTGTGAAACATTTTCGGTCATTCACCAATGACACCGGAATTGAGGTCCTAATACAAGGAATTTAGTTGACTACAAGTATCCCCGTTGAAAACGGAGTTTTGAAACAGCTTGAAGACATGTTCCTATTTCATAATGAGACCCGAGCATTGCATATTTACTTATAACTGACTGAAGATGTTTTTTTGTGTGTGTATATAAGAGAATTATTCATAAGACTCATACTGGCATTAAAATTTTTCCAGGGGATACTGAGAGCCGCAGCATTTCACAATGAATTCTGGGAAATGAAGTTTTCCACGGAGCACTTGAAATTAAGCGTTGTCAGTGCTAGAGGGCGCAAGGATGATTTCCGTAAATGTCACCCTGAGTAGGAACAGCAGCATCATGTGGTTTAATGAAGCTCACTGTTGACCTTGTAGCCTAAACAATAATTTTGAAAAAAAAAAAAAAAACAAACGAACAAACAAAAAAAAAAGAACTATGAACCGTAGGTCCACTTACCAAAATTCTGAAGCACACTATATATAGTATATACTATATATACTAAATTTTGTTGTGAATGTATCTTCATTTTAAGATTTGGAGATTACTATATGCACTAGCATACTCACATAAGGTCACAAGAGATGAACTCAATATTTTAATTAGACCATAGATGTCATAAACTATCATTTGTCATCAAAAGCACCAATACCCTACAACTACATAGAAGCTGTTCCATATGACGATTTCAATAATGATCCACTTTCATTTTTTGCTTATATCCGAGTTGCTTTCCTGAAGCTCCGTTTGGTCCAGACCTCAGGTTGTGCAGAAAACAAAGTACCTCTCTCCTAGTTTCACCAGAACTACTCTATACTTCTTTGTCTTCCAGCTGAACCTGCTG